AGAGAAAGAGAGAGGGGGGGGGCTGGTAAGATCAATTTTCTTTTGAATATACGTATTGTATGGTATACATAAAATAAAAATAATTGACATACGTACTGCGTATATTTGATAAAAAGAACTTCGAAATATTTTGAAGTGAGCAAAATATTCAATAGTGACATTATATGAAATATTTAATTTCTTTTCATATGTATATTATGTAATGTATCATATACTACACGTACGATCTTTTTGGCCAATTACACAAAAATATTTCTCCGTTACATTCTTCAAATTGTCACATACAATTTGACGATTTAACATATAACTCTGTCACAAAAAATAACAAAGAAATCGCAGGTTACTTACGCATACATCACTACATTTTGCTAGCTCAAGCAAAGAACGCAGTGCATTTCGAAGGTAAAAATATGAAGGTAAAATTAACATCTCTAAATAAAATATTCTTTTTCTTTTACATCAAACAGTAGGTACACATGTTTCATGATTAATCTTTTAAGAAACCACGTATATGTGTGACTCTGTTTGATTTATTGTATTACACATCGACTTCTTTTTAATATATTTTTAGATGTTTAAAATTAGTTGTTAGTGTGTTAAAAAACTAAAAAAAATTTTATCTATTGAATAATATGATATTAAATATTTTAATTATTATTATAACATTATAAATATATATATAATAATAATTATGTTTATGTATTCTGGTGTATTTATTAAATTATTATATTATATATATAATTTTAAGTAGAAAATTACGTTGATAAGATTGTAAATATAGTAAAATAAGATATTAAAAAAATGTTTATGTTTAAAAGTTGTTCCTATTATGCAGAAACGACGGCCTCGTGCAAAAAGATCTCTGCAAAACTATCCTCATTTGCATGAACGTTTTCCGACCAAAGCAAAGAGCATTCACGATTCAAAAGGACGAAGTTTTAAACAAAGTTATTCTAAACTTCAGCAAAATGATAAATATTGTGATAGTACGTCGTGTCTAACAAAGGACGCGTTTGGCTCATTGGAATCTCTTTTCGACTTGAGGAAACCATTAAATTTGAGAGATGTATTTCCTTTAGCATTCCATTATTATCATAAGCAAAAATTAATCGAAACATCTAGTGCCACAAAATCAGAACCATTCGTAAAAGCATTATTTCTGCAATCCTTTTCATCACAGACAAATCTCGAGCCGGTTACTTTCAAAGCGGTAATTATGCTAAATGTGTGTTATATCATAACATTCTATAGCTTTTATATTATCCGATTGATTAAGAACTAAAATAACTTTTGGCATTTACATACTTTATTATGACAAAACTAATATTATTTTTTCAGTACGGAAGACATGACAAAGTAAAAGTTGAACAAAATACAAATAATCAAACAAAGAAAAATAAAGAAAACAAATTTCTGTTTGAAGTCTCGAAATCCGTGGGATTGCAATTAAACGATTCGATTCACTATCAACAAAATCACCTAGTGTAATAATTTCTTTACTTGCATAGTATTTTTATATGTTACATCCTGTATCGTATCATAAAATATAGTAATATATATATATATATATATATATGTATATATATATAGAAATATGGCTGAAGACAAGGTACCGGACAACGAAGTACAAGAAGAAGAAGAAAAGGAACCAGCTATCGTAGACGAAGGATCTGCTGCAGCGATAGAAGATCTTAAGGAAGATCAAATCGAAACAAAAAAAAAGACTAATGATGATAAGCAAGAAGATAAAGCTGACGATAAAGATAAGAATGAAACTATAGGAGATAGAACTGATGACAAAGACAAAGTTGAAAAAAGTAATACTGAAAACAAAAACGAAAATGAAGAAACTAAAACTGATAATAGAAATAAAAATGAAGAAATTAAAATTAATGAAATCAAAGATAAAGAAGATAAAGCTGATAACAAAATGGAAGACAATGGTAAAAATAATGTGACAATACAACAATATTAAAGATAAAAATCATTTACCAGAAAAATCTATGTTTTATTCTATTTGATGGAGATATATACTTCACATAATTATTTAAAATTAATTACACAAATGATATAAATTAATAATAACTAATTGTAATCATTTTTCTCCCCCCCCTCTCTCGCCTCTTTTATTTTCAAGTTATTACAAATACATTTTAAAAGTGTAGATGAAGAGACAAAACCTGAGGAACTTGTAAAGCCTGTTAAAACTGATGATATAATCATAGAAGTAAAAGTAATGAATGAGAGATTCATCCTGCTAACAGATGAAGTCAAACAATTTAAGCGTGAAATTTTTGAATTGTCAGAGGTAATCAGAGGCTTTATTATTATTCAATATGACATTATTAACATCGATAATTATAATTTATAGTAAAATTTTTTATTCAGAAACCCGAGTTAACAGAAGAAGATAAGCAAGCTTTTCAAGAAAAACAAGACATTCTCACGTCAAAAGTAGCGGAACTGGAGCAATTAACGCAAAAAATTCAAAAAGTATACGCGCGTATTACGACAATATTTAAAATATATTTAATATAATCTTCCCTGCTGAAATTATTTTACATGTAATCACATCTTTGCGATAAGCTTTTGAAGTTCTGCAATAATGCGTGTCAATAAAATAAAATAAATAAAATAATATATTGCTAATTGTTAAAAATATAACGCGATAAACATCCTGCAGGCGCGAGAGGAAGTAGAACGACTTCGTAAAGTGGAAAAAGAAACTGAGATACAAAAAAGAGACATACCGCAAATACAATATCCTGAAGATAAGTAAGTATATTTTATTCATACAAAATGCTACTAGCCAATCAAGATATTCTCGATCGTACATTTTTATTAGGCTTCCGAGAGTAATTGTTTGCGGTTACACGGACGTGCTTCCAAAACTCGTAGTAGCGGATACCGAACGGAAGGGAAGGGAAAAGTGTTTCGAAAAGTTAACCGGCAAACTAACCGAATCTTTAACGATGCAGGAGAAATTGGTCAAAGAAAACGCGCAACTGGAAGGTGGAAAGTATGCTTGTCCCTTTTGTATAATAAATTCTAAATATAAATTTTATAAGCTAATAATAATAAAGAGAGAAAGGGTATACGAGCAAACAAATTCGTTAAAGCATTTAATTTCATTCTAATATATTTCGAAGAATATTATACGTTATTTTTGGCGTTTCGTCCCGGCTTCCACTACTGGACTCATCAGTAAGGCATTGTAGTGTCACTACATGTTTTACTTTACGCGGGTGAAAATATGCGTTCTTATCACAATTTTTCCAGATTTAGTATTTTCAGATTATTAAAATTGCATTTCAAGACCGACGAATGTTCGCAAATTTGGGGGGATTACGTATATTAGTTAATTATTAATAGGACATTGTTCTTACTTTGGATAAATATTGCGAAGAATATTACTACGTCGACCCGCTGCCATCAGAGGTCTATCGATATTCGCAAATTCTCGCAAGTGCTGAGATACGCGTATATCTCTTTATATGTATAGAATCTCGATTTAATAACTTATACAGGCGTCTAAGGTAGGCTTCCACTACAATGCCTTATACTGATGAGTCCAGTAGTGGAAGCCGGGACGAAACGCCAACTTGTGATATTCTTCGCAATCTTATTTTCACAGATTTCGATTTATCATTACTTTAACATCACATCGTTAAATTTTAATGTCTTTCAACGTTTCAACATATTATTAAGATCCAATAAGATGCTATAAGCATAAAAAAAATTGTTAGATTGCTTGTCAATTTTATAATTATAACTAAAAGTGATATTACTGCGGTAGTTGTTTAGTGTTGCGTTGTAAGTCTGAAAAAATTTCGGCACGCGATTAAGGGGACTACATACGCAGTATATAATATTCACGCATAATTTTAATAAGCATTTTGTGATCCAGCTTTGATCGTTATTGGTTTCCTTCTTGTTTCTTCTTCTTCTTTTATTGGCCCCGCAGCCTAAACGAACTGATACTGGGCCACTGAGGTCCTCGAAAAATGTAAATAGAATCAAAATTCTGTATACAAGGCACCGGCAGCCTCGAAACCGGGCAGATATGAATGAATGATGCAATAACGAATAAAAATGGCGCGTCTCCCCAAACGGCAAACACTGGACGCCTGTGGCTACGTAAAACGTTCTCCGCACCGCACGGCCACGCGCCCAGACGAGTGAGAGGACTCTCGTAGTCAGAAATACAAGGCACAGTCGAAGTCGGCAACACTTTTCAAAAATATTGGTCGAGGCGCAATATATCTCGAGACGGGGCGAAACACGTCCGTCCCGCTCGAGTGTCCTCACGAGACTTTCTTCTTCTTGTTTGATTACAAACGATTTGGCTAAAAATATTTCAAAAAAAATTGTAAAAGATTAGGTAAAATAGAAGCTTTTCCTAATAAATTATGCAACAACATATTACGTTCCATCTGCATCTAAAACAGGATATTATATCATCAGGAAAATTGATGAATATGTGGCGGATAGGATCTGATCGGATTCGGCGTTAAGATCTATTCCGCCACATATTCATCAATTTGCCTGATGATATAATATCATATTACAGATTTTTCTTTAATGTGTGTGGAATCTGTTTTCGAATACTGATAGAGCGCAATATGTTGTTGCTCCTTCATTAGGAAAAGTTTCTACTTTTCCTAATCTTTTACAATCTTTTTTGAAATATTTTCAGCCAAATCGTTTGTTAATCAAACAAGAATCACCAGGTGAGCCATTTTTGGCTCATTATAAACGCGAAAAAATCGCGTTTGGGCGCACGTGGGATTGGAACTCAGGTCTACAGATCGCGAGTCAATCGCACAGAGCGGTGAGCCACTCGACGCCGCATGAAATATACATGTTACTTATATAATAAACTAATATAATAAACACAAATACAATTGTCTTGGAACATTGATAACCTACGCAATGTAATAGTCAAGTCATTAAAATTAGCGTGGATACGAAATATAAAAAAAATAATCGAGGGTACAGCTAGAATAAAGGCCTAATTACAAAATCTTGATTTTTATAAAAGTAAAAATAACTTGCTACTTTTTTATTTATACGACAAATATTAAATGTACAATATTAAATGAATACAACAATATTAAATGTATTATCAACTGTATTGTCATACCACTTTAGTTCAATCTCTGGTAAAAGTCTCATTAAACTTATACAATCTATGGTAAAAGATTATACCTTTTTCCATAGATTATATCATTTTCACTACCACAGGACAATTGAAACACATTTTTTATTTCATATTTGAGTAATGTAAACAACATGATTTTCTTGTTGCGCGCTAATCTCCGAAAAAAGTTTCGTCCCGGCTTCCACTACAATGCCTTACTGATAAGTCCCCAGTAGTGGAAGGCGAAACGCCAAAAATAATATAATATTCTTCGCAATATATTAGAATAAAATTAAATGTTTTAAATTTGTTTGCTCGTATACCCTTTCTCTCTTTATTATTAGTTTGAAAAACTTAACGAGCCTTCTCACTACATGTATAAATTTTATAAATACATAAGTAAAATAAATGGATTATGCTTAACATGTAAGTGATTATAAAATAGCATAATGTATATATTAAGAGTTAAATTTAGATTTGCTTTTTAGATATCTATGTATATCTTAAGAGAACAAACAATTAAACTTATAATATTTTAAACTAAAGTTAAAATAATTATAGAGCTTTGAATAAGATAAACAAATGTATCAATTGACTTTTGCAAGACACTTGATGTAATGCAAAAAAAATTAATATCCGATAGTTATCTTATGATACCATAAACAATAGACGATCAAATAAAATGTTTGAAAATTAAACGGTTCCCTCGGTGACGATTTCACGATGTTTTCAGTAATTTGAAGCATGTCAAAATCATACGTCATTTATACGTAACCCGGTTTTATGATATACTGATATCATAACAATGAATAAAATGTGCACGTTAATAATTGTTTCGTTCACGAAAGTTTTATAACATCTTAATCTTAATTTCAAACGATCTTTTTATATCCGTCTCACTTTATATTCTAATATATCAAAATAAAGCGAAAAATGAAGATTGTATGGAAAGCTGTGTTGTTCTGCAAAATAGGTACAAACTAGAAGAAGCCTTGCTAGAAAAAGATACAGCTCTCGAAAGTTTGCAGAAGAAGGTATGCGGTCTGCAAGCAGAAATGCGTATAATTGTCAAAGAAAATATGGAGTTGAGTCACCAATTGGCTACTTTAAATCAACTAGTGATTAGACCTACTTGCTGTTACACCTGCCCAGGTGTTGCTCAGTCTCCCCCGTCAACGTCACCGACGTTATCTTCACGTCCGCATGTCAGCGCGCAACCTCGAGACGACGTTTACTGCAAATGCTGTTTGCGATCACCATACACTGACACTTTATCACCAACTACAGAAACTGCATGCAGTAAGACGAATAATTGATAAAATACAGTATTTCGGCCGTTGAGAAGTAATGTGTAGTAGAAGCGAGACGTTTTACACATTTGTTAAAAAAAAGAAAGATGATTGCAAAGAACGGTGAATTTTTCTCTCTAGTAAAAAAAGAACGTTTAATCTTGTAGATTCACCAAGGCTTACAGGAGGTGGATCACCAACAGAGGAACGTTATTTCGTAGATAGCAACGATTTGCAAAACGTAGAGATGTGTTCCCGAAATCCAGCCGTTGTTAAGCCATTGCTTCCTCGAGGAACATGTCCTGCAGAATTGGAAGATAAACTTGCAACATATGGCAATAGTACTAAACAATTAGTAAGTTTTTAAAGTGTTGAAAATAAACGCATTTTTTGCAATAGGAAAAATTAAGAACAATGTAATAAATAATTGAAAAATATTTTAAAGAAGTAATTTTTATGTTTTCTTACGCGTACAGTCAGGTAAATCACAATACAATCAGTGAGAAGAGATAACAATTTTTGTATCTTATACATTTCTATTTCAAAACTAATCAATCCTTTATTTTGTTCATACATAAAATGGCCAAAAATATACATATATATAATAAATTCTATATATGAAATTCTGTAAAAGATTAGTTAAAAATTGATGACATGGAATACAATATCGGTTCATCTTATCATTTCAGGAACAACAGTTAGGCAGTATGGAGACTGAAGTACGTAACATGCAGATGGAATTAGCAAATGTGCAACGGGAGCGACAACAATTGGAACAGCAACGTAAACTGCTCAAATGCACAGGACCTTGTGCAACGTGCGCTTGTTGTCCACCTCCGACTTCGACTTGTGTGACACCCACGTCAGGACTTCCGTTAATGGGGATTTCAAAGGTACCTGCAATGCCTCTCATCCAGGTAAATTAACATTAACATTTTAACCAAATTTTTCAATTAATATTCACCTTTACCAAATAATATGAGTTTTTACATAATACTTCTTTTTAATATTTTTATAATTTTGACGTGCAATTTTCCACAATTAAAATCTATAATATTTGTTTTCATTTATACAAAATTGATAACTAGCGAGTAATGAGTAATATATTTTTTATCGAATATAGACGACTACACAGGCTGCACCTCTAATGTGCACTGGTTCTTGTACAAACGCAGCCATGGTAAGACTATAAGCAAATTTAATTGAATGCTCTGAATAATCATAATAACACAACTTATTATCAAAGGGCACTAGTATTAGCGTTCAACAGCAATTGCGCGATCTTCGTGAACAATACGCCCGGCTTCAAGATGATTATAAAAGTAAGTTGTATGAGGTATCATATATGAGAACAGAAGCGGAGAAATTCAAGCAAGATTTGCGCGATGCAAAGGAAGAGAAGGAACGAATGGAGATAAAACTCATAGATGTTCAAGAACGGTTAAAAATTCTAGAAGCAGAAAAGGGAAAATTTGAAGGTAATTCATTATAAAAATGAAAACTATAATATGATACGTAAAGCTCCAATTTAATGTATGTAACAAAAAGCATATTAATTTCGAGACAGGTCATAAGGAACATCTCATCGAACAGGAACAAGCTCTGATGGTGGCAAAGCAACGTTTTCGAGAAGCGCAGGATGAGTTAGAGGAGCTTCGTTCTTTGATTCAAGATCAAGCTGCTCAATTGGAAGATTATCGCAATAAATATTTGCAAGTTGTTATCATTGCGACTTTCTAAATAAATTATATTCGACATTTTTTCTCAAGTGTGTAAGCGATTATATAAAAACGAAATCAATATAATTTTATTAGGCTCAGCAACAAGTTGAAGAACAGCGCAGACAGCTAGATCTTATGGAAATGGATAATGCACGAATGAATGAGAATGTTACTTTAGAAATCGGACGTGTTAAAGTATATCAAATGCTAATTTGAATTTGTTCGGATTATGTAAAGATATTCTCATTCTATATATGTATTAATTAATGCAATTAGAATCAATTTCAAGAGAAATTAGCCGAACTTGCACCGTTACCCGATATCTTGAAACAAATGCAAATGAAGATGCAGGAAGCACAACAGATGCGCTTAGTCGCTGAACGTAGCTGCGAGGATCTGTCGCGAGAATTGCTAGGGTACAAAGATAAGATTCAAACTTTGCAAAATCAATTTGACGTATTGCGCACCGAGCATCAAACGCTTCAGGTTGTAATTCGTTATATAGCTTGTAATTTGCTATATAATTTAAAGATAACTTCATTATGTTAATTAAAAATAATCAATTACTTGTATAGGATGAAAGAGAACTTAGCTCCGAAGAGATGGAAAAAAAGTATGGCGAGTTGCGACACGAAAATGAAAGAATGAAAAACACATTGGCACGATTTGAGGAACATGAAGCGCAGTTACAAAAACGTATTGACGAGAAAATGCACGAGAACACACAATTGTCATCAATGTTGGAACAGGTACGTGCTAATTTAGCGGTAAAAAATGTTATTCGCGAATACTAAAAAAAGTTTTCTGTTTAAGATAAGGGAAGATTCCGCTCGACAAGTAGCGAGAACAAAAGAGAGATGCGAAACAATGCGAAGATCGATGCAAGGCCAGATTGCCGAAATGGAAAGGCAATTGGCACAGTGTAGAGCAACAGCATGTGCCGCCCAACGAGACAGAGATGAGGTAACAATTGCAAATGTTATGTGGAAATGTTAATAGACAAGAGTGTATTTGACACGGGGTTCTCATTAACGTATGCAGATTAGACAAAAGATGCAGAGTCAAATAACTAACTTAAACGAGGCATTTAAACACGCGCAAGGCCGTATAAAATCGTTACAAGGTCACGTAAACTATCTCAAGACTTCTTATAGCAATATCTTTCTCGGACAAGGAGAAGCACCGACAAGCGCTTTACCAATAGATGATTCTTGCGATTGCAACTATTAAATGCACATGATGTTTCAATAATAATGGTATATATTTTTGTTTGATATATATAACGAAATTAAAATATATTACTCGACGTCATACACAAGCCTTGTTATGCATTTATACTTTTAAGTAATGACATTTTGACACAATTAACAAAATTGATAAATAACTGTTATACTATGTCCTTTTCTAAAATTTTTAAATTATAAACACATTTGAAATATGAAAAAATTAAATCAAGATTTATGCACATTTGCTGTATGTCAATTACTTCGCATTGTTTAATTGTAGTACTTATATATTATTTCACACACACACACGCACACACAGACTAATTTCTTCACATGGAAAATATATTATGAATGCATAGATACAGCGCTATCTTATTCAGAGACTTTAACAAAAGTGGCATATATTCTTGTTAGATATGCATATATTGGATGTAAACGTATTTTTTCGTTATATGTATGTTTTATTTAACGACTATAGTTTTTTTTATAAGCAATAAAGTAGGACGATACTATGATAGTTCCATAGTGGCTGAAAAAAAGTAAACAATAAAAATATGATATATGTACATGAAAAAAAATTAACATTAAGATGGATTTCTTTAGTTTGTATCCACTGAATGAAGCATATTGAGCATATTAAGAATAGCATCTGAACGTGATCGCATCCTTTCCATTTCCATTCGAAATTCTTCCAGTTGAGATTCAATTCGCTGTGCATAAGCATGGCAGCATCTGTAAACAAGTAAAATAATTTTGATATTAAAAAAATATATATAATCTAAGAAGTTGTGTAGATATTTATTTATATTACAATTTAAGGAGGTTCTATCGTTAGGGCAAGGTGACTAGAAAAATATGAAAAAATATAAATATTGTTCTTTAAAAGTAGCTAAAGCCCTAGGTAAAGTTTTTAGGTAGTGTTGCCGACTTCAAACTCAGGAAAAACGCTTTTGAAAAGTCCGATTAATACATATGTCTTATGGGGGATATGAAAAATTCATTAGTTATAAAGATATATTTTTTCAGAATGTGTCAAGAAGTAAATAACAAACTGATATATTGAAAAGTGTAGGATCTCGTTTATCATTTAAAGCAAAAAATAATAATACGTTGCCAAAGAAGTGAATGGGATATTTAATAAAGAAGTTGTAAAAAGTGTATAGGTTATAATTATGAAATATTATGTGTAAAATGAAAACAATTCATTTTAATATTGGAAAGCATACCTTCCAGGTTGTTGTATATTTGAACATAATGGTTCTGGAGATGCACACGGCGAAATTTTGATTTGTGGAGAACAGCTTCTTAAATAGGATTCCTTCTTGTGTGTACAGTTTTTGTTATTACTGGATACATTAGGATTATAGCAATCTCCACACCCTCGTACAAGATCCATTAAAATTCCTCGTACCTTTTTTCCAGTTGTTCTTCGTCGTCTCGTCTAAAGAAAACATAATTATAATGAGTTACACATGTATAATGAATTATAGTTGTAACCATACAAATTTGGTCATATAGTTATTCGTAAATGATGAAACTTACCTCTGGTCTTTCATTACATTGGTTCAGTGTTAGTAATGGTTCTTCTTCATGTACATTAGGAGATGAGTGACTATATGATTCGTTACATTGTCGATCTGTATTCATTATTAGTGACTCACAAGTTTCTTTTAACATGGTACAACATTTGTGATTTTCTTGACACTTCTCTGAATTGTGCGGTGAATGATGACATGTCGTACAATTTTTACAAATGTGCTCATTGTCTTCTGAGATACCACTTTCATGTAAATGCTTGTTAGACTCTAGGTTTCTTGAAAAACTTTGTCGACGTTCCTGGGTCCTTAACTTTTCTTTGTTATAAATAAAACTATCTTCGAATTTCTGCTTTTCGTTAGGTAAGGAACAATTGCACTTCTTCTCTGACATGTCTATATCATGAGTGCAGCAGGAATGTAATTTTTCTTGGGGATGTATTCGTTTATATCTTAGCCATTCTTTACGATATTTTGAAAAATCACAGTCTTCACACGTATTTGAACTAGACAATTTATCTGCTTTATCTGTAGAACAAGATGCTTTTGCTATGTTAAACAAAGGCGGATGTATACATGAAAGATTAGATGCTGCTGAGGATAGTTCAAACTTAAAAGGATTTTTTGATTTTTTACTTGTTGAACATACTAAATTACTGCCATTGAATCTGGTACTTGGTGTCTTTTGCCAGCAATGATAATTTTTATCTTTTATTGTAGTAGATGCTTCTACGTCATTTTCAGTTTCAGCAGTGGATTCTTGACTAATCTGAAAAATACATTTTAGTTTGAGTACAACAGAATCTTGAAACTAGTGTTTTTGAATTATAATTTATAAGATCACTTACCTCTTTACCCCAAATGTTGATTGTTCCATTCATTTCAGACATTCTTACTTCTACATTACCAAGTAAGTACGGACCGCATTCTCGCCTGCGTCCTTTTTCATTAACGGCCTTATCATTTTCAGGCTCCTCTGCTAGAATGAGAAAACTGCGATCTTTGCTATTTTCATCCTCGCGATATACAAAACATTTTACGTTATCCTCTGGATCACCAGTGGTTTCTGTTTTGCTCTCTATAGATGTAGCAGCTCCTAATTGACTTGTATTAGCATTAGGTAAACTTGATTGTAAATCTACATTCTTATTTGTCGAATCACATGAATTTTTTAATTGAGATCCTGAAGGCGTTTCACTTAACTTTAGATGCGATTCTACAGGGGAAGCTTTAAAAGATTGTAGAAAATTAGATGGTTCAAGAATGTCTGTAATCTTTCTTTTCTTAGAACTGGAAGGGAGACATTGATAACTACCATCATCATTTTGCAGATCCATTGATACATTTTCATTTAATCTCTTTTTTGAATTTTGTATCACTGGACTTTCTAATTTTGTTTTTCCCTGTGTAATACTTGAAAGAGTTTGCAAGATGCGGGATGAAGTAATAAATGCTCGTGACAGTGAACGTGTTTTTCTTGGTGTACCATCAGTCAGTACTATACTATCGTCAGACTGCAATGTTTTTGTTATTTCAGGTGGTTTAATGGATACAGATAAATTACAAGCACTGGAACTCCACTGATCTATAGAGCTTAGCGTTGAAGCAACACTACTACCTGATATTTTATTTTTAGATTGTTTGACATGTGTAGGCTCAGTTTGATCTTGGGGTTGATTAGAAACATTATCGATAAAATTTTCTGTTTGAACTGATGCAACCTTCTGTTCCGGAGGTTTGTTTTCTTTTTCATATTTTGCTAATGTTTTTCTTAGTTCATCCAACTCCTGTTTCATTTTCAAATTTTCCATAAGCTGTTTTTGATATGTATCAAGCAGACTGTTATATTTTACACTCTTCTGTGTTAATTTCTTTTTCAATATGGTAACTTCTGAAGTCTCCATAGTAGTTTTAAATTCATTTGTTTTCTCAAAAGTTATTGGTTCATTATTATGTTTTGTTTGATCTGACATTGTCTTAATGCTTTTTATATTCTCAATCCTTAAAGAACAAGCATCTTCTTCATCCGTGGATACTTCCATTAGATCTGAATTATTACATACCTCAGGTTGAATATGCTCTTGCTCAACATGGGCGTTTTTATTTAAATCAGTTTTTTGGCTAGAATTAGAAATGCCATGCATGTACTCCTCATAACTTAAGGTTTGCAAATTATAAAATACCGTTGGTACTTCTTCTTCTTCTTCTTCTTCTTGATGACCATTTTGAGCAAGAGGTGGAAAATTTGAAATTTCTTTAACAGAATAATTGAACTTTAATGATTTATCTTCAATCGTTCCATTCTGTTTTTGCATTTTACTATCCGTATTTGCAACATCTCTTTCATCCTGTATTGACTCAAATGGTATATCTATTTGAACTTCAGTTTGTATGGATTCTTCATGTATTGACTCTAAACAGTTTTTATTATCTTGTCCATTCAATATTGGCATAGAAATAGCATTATAGGCCACTTTATCCATATTATTCTCGCACGTTTCTGCGATTTCTAATTCCTTGATTGTTCTTTCAGCATAATCTTTTATTGTCTTGTTAATCACTGTAGGCATTGTTTTTTCTGTATCATTGATTTTATGTTCGCTGTTACTTTTATTATGGGCTATATCTTCCTGATGTTTTACAACATTGTATTTTTCCACGGAACGTCTATTTTGTTCTTTTATATCTTTGATGTAGCTTTTAACTTTGCTTTGTATATAATGATATTTTCCTAGTACTGGTTGCTTTCTCTGAATCATAGAATACATAATAGCTTGTTCTGGAATGTTTGAATAATTTGGCCTTAAGTCTTGTGTGTATCTTCTTTTAAAATATCCATCGTTCACATTATTCCTGTATACTTTTAAATCTTGAAGAGACAGACTCTTTTCTTTATCACGATTTTTCAATCTCCTGTTTAAGATAAAATCATCTGATCTTCCATCATAATAATCTGTCTCATAATTATCATCATCATTATGCATTTGTCTAGGGCTGTCTTCATCATCTTCTTCATTTTCGTCATCTTCATCCTCGTCATCCTCGTCATCCATTAAATGTTTCATGTTACTTGGATGATCCGTATCATAATCATTATCGAGCTCTAAATTTTCCATTTCTGTAACATAACAACAATTCAATAAACATATAAATTATATAAAAAATTGTAGTTACATCAGCTATTTACTTGAGAGGATATGTATTAAGCTAATTCTATTCTCTTAATATTTATAAGTCTCTATTATTAACTTACCGTCACTATCTCCATATTCATCTTCATCATCTTCATCGTTGTAAGGATGTTGATCAGTTTCTTCTCCAGATGATAAAACATACACACTACTCGCTGCTTGATCATCGCTGTTATAAGGACTCTGGCTACGATCCCCTTCAATCTCTCGAGACTCATTTTCAGACTGCTTCATGTTAACAATGTCCGAGTCATCTGGTCTTGTAATACTAGACACACTGATGTACGTCGGCATTTCCTCGTCTTCAAGTAGAGCCGCGTCTGCCTGATTCATCAACTTCGCTTCGCTCTTGGATGAATCGTTAGGAAGATCTTCCATCGCCTTTGTCTCCGTTTCGGTGTCGTCGGGCGAGTGCTCGCTATTTTCCGACATCGTGGAAAACTACGGACGAGAAGGTACCACGGATTATTATCGATTGATGCGATCTAACGATCGAAGATTGTTGATTAAAACAATTCGCAGTCTGCTTTAACTCCGATTTCTAAACGCTCGCCGGCCCGGCGAATATACGTGGCGCGCAACGGAAAACACTATTTCATCAGCCGCCATTACATGCTGCACTTTGGACGATATCTCGTAATATCGTCGTGCCGTGTCGTTTATTATTTACGTGTTGTTGCGAATCATTCGCGTTCTCTTTTGATAAAACGGATCGCTAGCGGAACGGACAATCGGCCGTTAAAACGTACTCTCTCTCTCTCTCTCTCTCTCAATACCGAGCCATCATCCGCAAGTTTAACCGAACTGCACGTTGCAGGACTATACGTGCATACGTGACGGAGAGAATCGAGCGGGCCTATCTCTTTTCACCCCCCGCGACTCGCTTGACGCGACCGCGCAAAGATAATCGAAAGTCCAATTCGCGCCGAGCGTGTCAATCGGTCGAAATTACGGTCGTTCAGATCTTCAGAAAGCAAACTCTGCTCTTCGCACTAATGTATGTATGTACAAACGCACCGCTGGAAGTGCCGAGGTTAACGCCACTCACGCGCATGCGCCGTCCGTACGATCGTAGGGAAACGCGCGTGTACATGATGTACAGTGATATTGATATGCGTATGTGTGTGCACATGCCGAGAGCTCCTTTTAATTCGTTTTATTACGACAATCGATCCCGGCCTTCGGCCCACACGAACGAAAATTCATAGCGCGCTTGTTTCCGTTTCTCCTTTTTCGACAAACCTGACGCTGCTCCGCGCTGATCGTCGCCGAACGTCTGCGAAAGTTCCGAGTTCGGCACGACGCGCGCACGATAATCCAATTCTAACCTCTAATTAGAGCGAGCGAGAGAAGGAGGGAGGGAGAGAGAGAGAGAGACGTCCTTTGAGCTCGATTTCGGTTCACGATGTCTGCGACTGGACTTCCTCTCACTATCGAGTTCGGGTAAGATCGAGAAAATTGGAATTCCACGCGAGACGAACGAGTCACGCCGTTTATCGAATGTTCGCAGAGGTGGGGCGGAGTTGCTGTTTGACGGGAAAAAGCGGCACGAGGTGGACTTACCCGGTGAGGAATGTAAGTATCCACACGCGTTAGCTCGTGTCCGTTCGTAACGTTGACAATAACGACAGTAACCAAACGATTCCGCAGGGACGTTGAAACGACTGCTACGCTGGCTACGGGATAACCTCTTGACAGAACGGCCGGAACTCTTCATGCAGGGCGACACGGTGTAAGTGCAATGCGATCGTACAGCTCTCTTCGATGTTTTGCGGTTGCGAAACAAAAGAGCTTTAAAGAATTCTACGCAGGGATCTGCAGTATCGCGTCGTGCTAGTCGAATCTCAAGTTTACCTGTTTACGTCGCGCATAAACGCGTCACATCAGTCGCATACGCGCTGATACGCGGCACAGTCCGCGAATTGATGCAATGGGATCGACCGACACCACTGACACCGACATTATAAGTGAAGATGGCCGTAACAGCCGTATTATCGCGCCGGTCGCACGCGCAACGCCACAGATGTCAGGATCTGTGTCTTCCGGTGAATCCGGTGCATTCCGATGTAGAGTTTTAGGGTGTGTCCACATAACTCGCATAGCTGCATGAACTAGTGTGCCTAAAGAAAACTATCCAATCGCATTTCATTTATAAAGACGCACGCGAAATGTGATTGGATGAAAAAATGAATAATAAATAATGGACTTCTTGTATTTTCGGTAAAAACGAAGAAAGTTTAATTTGGCGAATTGTTTTTTTTGCTGACTCCTATTTAGTCAAATTAAACTTTCTTCGTTTTTATTGTGATAGGATAATTTCTTATGCATTTGTATATGCGGCTAAGCAAATTTGTGTAGATATACCTTTAGACCGTAACAATTTTTGCAAAAGTATAGTACGTAAAAGAATCAACCAATCAAAGTTCCTCTTTTCTGTGAAATGGAAAAAAGAGGGGATTCTGATTGGTTAATTCTCTTTAGCCTTGTGTTCGCGGTGATAAAACTACGTCCGAGTTCTTGAATCCAGGAATTCGTAGCCAATCAACATGTAGTTTTTATGAAAGAAACGGCAAGTAGGTTGGCTACAAATTTCTCGATCCAAGAACTCAAACCGAGTTAGAGCATCGTGAACACAGAGCTTTACCCCGGATCTACAATACGTGTTTTAAGTCTTAAGCTGTAAGAACCAATGTGTTGACCAATTACGTCGAATTCGAGGAGAATAATCGACTATGATTCGTCCATTTTTTATGGCTTAAAACTTAAAACTTTATTGTAGATCCGGACTTATGCATTTGTTATGCAAAATCTATGTCGCAGTCTTTTATAGACTTTCTACAATTACTATATTTCCGATATTCGTTGCTAGTATATACTGAAAATGTGTAATATACGTTATGCATATAGATTTTGCACTATAGATTTTTAGTACTGACAGTGAATATCGTGCGAAACGTAATTAAATATAAATTATTATCTAAGTTTTAAGTCTTAAATCATAAGAAATTAACCAATCACGAATATGAGAAGAATAATCGATTATGATTGATCAATTTCCTATAAAATTTGAGATTTAAAAGCTTAAGTAATGACTTATTATGGAAAGTCTATTAGGTCAGAGCACAGCCTTTTGCATAACATATAATGTTGCATAAAACATAAGAAAATTAATCAGTCAAGAATCTTTTGTTTCATGAAAAGAAGAGAAATGAAAGACTGATTAGTTCGATTTTCTTATGCTTTATGTGTTATTACGAATATTTAAGAATATGGTATTCTTTTAGATATTTCATGTATCGTATGACGAAGCTTTTCAAGTCTGTTGATTAGCTATAAGACAGAGATTCAAGAATCTCTCTGTCGACACATGAAATATCAATTTAAAAATATTTTTACACAGTGTTTTAGGGTCGGAATTCATAATCAATTCTTATATATTTAAGACTACGTCGTAGAGCTGGTTTCACCAACGTCTATTAACCGTAATTGGTCAATTCTATTAAACAGCAAATGCAATTGGTTAGTTAACGGCTGATAGGGTGCATTCAGTACAATGATCGTTCACTGAGCGCTCAATGAGCGATGTACTGAATGCACCCATTTAGTGGCGTTGGTGAAATCAGCCCTTAAGCCTTAAGTCAATCTAAGATGTTACGAACTAATCAAAATTGAAAAGCCTTATTGTACGATAAATGAAATATTATCTTATTTGTATTTATTAATAAGATCCAACTATGAATACCGGCCCTAAACCTATACTATCTGCACCTATCTTCTGACAACATGGTATGACATATTTTGCCGCGAAGAGGGCAATTGTTTTTCGAGTTGCAATAAATTAAACGTTTCGCATTAGGCGTCATAAATCAAAAATTATGTATATGAATACGGAATTGTCGAGTATGGATCAATTTCTTGGATAATCGCGTCTTTTGTAGCCGATTAAAAATTGTATGGTAAATTTACGGTAGTAATTTAGTTAGTAGATTTAATTCTTTTATTATTCTCATTATCAATTTAACGTACGTATGTTAATTAATATATTTTATTTTACATTAAATCGGTATATTTTATATTAAATGTTGATAAGTTGGATAACAGGAACCGATTTTTCATTACTGTTAAAAATTGCAATTTCGTAAACATGTTGGAAATTTGTATAATTTATCGGATTAAATATATCGCATGTTAAGATGGCCGCTTTTCACGCTGTTTGATTAGCGTAATGCCCGTTTTCACGGCACAATAATGATTTGTACATTGATTGAATTCGCGCGATGTTACCTTTCGATAGAGTTTTTACGGAAGTTTTTAAAACGAGAACTGATGAGCGGCGTGTATTTCACATTTCTCTTGATTTTATTTTTGTTCCTTTTTTTTTTTTTACATTTCGCTCGAAGGAAAAAGGAAAAGAAAACACTGAAAATCGCGAATTCGAGATCAAAACGAAATGCGTTGTATGTGACGCGAGCGAGCGTAGTGAAGTCGGCTGCGAAAGTCGCGGTCGTGTCCATTGGCCATTCTATAGGCGCAACGAGACTCGAATGCATCAGCCAATCGGCTGGACGATATTGGCAGGACGTTCATTTTGAAATTTTTGTTCTTGCGAGTGAGTTTTTCGCAGTGAATGATCGTGGTTGATCACGGCAGATCGCGACGGATTTTCGTTCGTTCATTGTCTCACGTTCGTTTCGCGCGCGTTACGCGTTTGTTTCGCGTCTGTATCTCCAACTTTCCGTAACTGATGGAGAGTGCGGGATCTGTAAGTTTTTGACACACGATACGCTGGTAGCAGCGAAAAGCGCAACTCGATTTAAGAAGTTTATCTTGTTTTTTTTTTAGGAGACCGGGCATCTTGGTTCTGGTTAACGACGCCGACTGGGAATTACTGGTGAGTTTTGGGCATAGCGTCTGTCTACTGTATTCATCTATACATATATACGTTTTCTCGAATATCACATATGTGAACAATTTTAACGAAACAATGAAAAATAAAATGCCAATTCGATGATCATATAAGTTCTTTTGACCAAAAATTCATCAGGTAAAAGTTTTTGAATCAACCTTTGACTTGATTTTCCACGGCCAATTTGGAATTGTCTTTGCGACAAAAATCGAAACATATCAAGTGTAATTAAATTATTATCTGAATATTCTGAATATAAACAAATGGAATTAATGATTGCTTTATCGCTTTTGGTAAAAAATTGAAGAATACTTTGTTTAGTATTTATATCTTTAATTAAAATTTTAATTAATACATATATTATTTATTATAAGCAAAATCAAAGTTGAATTTTTTATATGAAATCATTAAATTTTTAGCGTTATTTATGTTAATTTGTGGAAAATTATAAAATAATATTATTAAGATTGTAGAATAAAAATTAAAGGGTGTAGAATGAATTTAAAATTATTCATCTATTAGATTT